ACTGGTTAGTGCCTCGCGATTATGAAAATTTTTCATTTTAGATACACAGCTGTGTAAAATCTGGTGTACACAGTTCACTTACAGCTAGAAGGACTTTTTGGAGTGCGACAGGTTTTGGTGTCGTTTGATTTACTTGCGCGACTACCTTTTGAGCACGACTTCAGGTCATGAGTAGGTTTAGTGCTGATACAAGTTTGTAAGATAGCATAATTTGTCTCTGTCGTTAGTATTACTGCATTTGAACAGCAGTTGACTGGTTGATCTACCTAATTTATTGTCGAGGCACAAGTGGTTGACAAGCAGTGCAGTACATATCATACACTTAGAGAAATGAAATTTTAAAATAGTCCGGTGGCATGCAGTCAGGCAGATTGTGCGCTGAAAAGTTATGGGGTTACACTGTTCATTTAGCATCCCAGTTGCTACGCGCGATCTGACTTACACAGGTTTTCAGGAATCTGCCATCAAGGGTGAAGCAGCGTCTATTTTAACAGTGGCCTCCTTCGAAAGACCCGTGGAGAAATGAGGCGGAGTTTATTTTAATTAGTATCCTTATGTAACCCTGAGGGCAAGGGGTGAACAGTGACGTCGGGAATGTTATTATAGCTATATGGAACAAAAGCTGATGTGCGTGCTTTTAAGGCTGTGCGACGCAAACCAGGCTTGCGCCAGACCGACAGAAGGACGGATAGCTAGTGGATGTGGCAACATTATGTATCACGTCACATTTGGAAGGGAGATTTAACAATCATACGAGAATGAAGTGCGACTGTGCTCACTGTGTGGCAGTTAGGTAACAATAAAGGGCTTCTTACGAATACCTTCCAGAATACATTCAGAATAATACGCAGAAAGAGTGCCTAGAAAGTGAGTGGCCCCTGAATTAATGTAGAACCAGCCACTAGGATAGGGTCACTTGTACATTGAGAGAGACATAGAATTTTTAAATCGACCGGAAGTATTTTTGCCACAGGGCGTGGTGTCCAACCTGCCCTCAAATTAACCCGTCATCAAGAACTTTATTAAGACGTTGGTGGCTGACACTCAGTATTCGTGCACATGTTGAGGACAAAGTCTCGGCGACCATCTTCAGCACAGAAGCTGGAAAGAACTGATAAGTATATGAAGACAAATTATCCTAATCTTCCTTGTGCGTCGGTGGCATAGCGGTTAGGACGCTCGTCGACCATGCACATGGTCCGGGGTTCGATTCCCAGCCGGCGCACTCCTTTATTTTTGGGAGCTCTTACTCCCGAAATATTCTTAAGGTTGTATATGACATACGTGAGGCCACTCTGAGGTGCATAATATCATTGCTCCTCCGCTACTCAAAAGGGATGCTAACATTCTAGAAAGTGTCCAGAGACGAGCGACAGAATGGGTGATCGGCCTCCGCAACAAATCATATGAGGAAAGACTGAAGAAATTAAATCTTTTCACACTTAGTTACCGTAGTCACAGGGGAGACCTCATCACTGTCTATAAGATCTTAAATGACCAGGTCCACCCTAATAAAAGCATCCTGTCATTAAGTGATTATAGGCTTCCACGAGGTAACCCGCTAAGGATAGCACACCAGAGACCAAAGACTCGAGTGTGTTCACATTTGTTTTCGCTTCGAGTTTGCCGTCTCTGGAACGTTTTACCGGCGGCCGTGACTACAGTGCCATCTGTAGAGACTTTTAAGCGGAAGCTGGACAATCATGCACAAATGCATGGTTTGTTTCTCAACGGCTTATCCTCTTAAAATTTGAAACCAGACTGTCAATGGATAAGCATACAAGCTAAATCCCCACGACCAGTCCTGTCTTCTCCCACTGTACCGACTAATCTATCTTTTCTTTCTTTTGTAGTGTACATTATTTCACCTTTATTATTTCATTTATCTCAACTTATATTATCTACACTACAACCTATTATTATTACTATTCTACTTTTATGATTACACCGAATGACCAACGGGTGTTAGGTTAAACTCCATTCACGGCAGCAACTGAGTCCTAACATACTGCACACTACAAACCACATCTTGACTGATTCTCGCACCACTCCTCATGGAGTCTACCAGAGCTAAAGCAGTCGAGTGGCGGGATTTACTACGCATAAGTTCACCGAAGATCTGGAACCTCTACCTTACAATCAAGAAGCTAGCTCAAAGAAATCACTGGTCTATACTAGCTCGTAATCAGGATATTGGATATTGGAAGTTCTGTTTCAAAATCAACACATAAATACTCACTAAAAACTTGAAAAATATATATCGACTTCAGGCAGGAATGAAGTAAAACAGTTCGTTCCACTTCATAACTAAAATATTCTGAGGTCTGAATTTACAGTCGGTTTGTTTAAGTTAATAGCAGTTTGTAACCAGTATCCAACATAGAAATGGCGGCTAGGTATAGAGATGTCGGTGCAAAAGTGTATATTGGTGATCTGCCCAGAGAAGCCTCTGAAAGAGAGCTAGAACGTATATTTCGAGAATATGGGAGGCTGCGTAATGTTTGGGTTGCAAGAAATCCCCCTGGCTTTGCATTTGTTGAGTTCGAAGATGCTGCAGACGCAAGTGATGCTGTTCGCGAGCTCGATGGGACGTAAGTATAAATCCAGTACCACATTTTACTTTTTATCCAGAGTTATGTGTGGCGTCCGTGCGAGAGTTGAACTGAGCACTGGGAAGTCACGACAGAAGCCCTGGGTACGTGGTGGTGGGGGCGGTGCGCGCAATGGCGGAGGCCGTGACAATGGATTTGGTCCTCGAAGATTGAAACCGTTTGATCCTGCAGACAGATGTTACGAATGTGGCGAACGCGGACATTATGCTTACGACTGTCGTCGCCGAGGTGGTGGGCCAGGAGGTCAAAACGGTCGGGGAAGGCCTGATGGCCGAAGAAGGTCGAGGTAATTCACCTTACTCGCATGTCGTCTGGTATGATCTCAGCTCCCATGATACGTTATCAACTGTCCACAGTTTTTCATCCAAGTACAACAGCCTTAGACTACATCAGCATCCTACCTTGCGCCACTAACAGCTTGTTATCGAATGCTGTCCGTAGCGGTGACTCGTCACTAGCACACGGAATGTACTATGAAATGACTCAGCTCCATAGGTACTTCACTCAAACTTTGACATCTTGCTTCATTGTGACGGGCATGATCTTTTTGCCCACGGCATCTGTGAGCCGTCGACGACGTCGTCGTGTCTACAGACAGCCTGATTTGTTAACGTCCGTAGAGACCTACAGCTTGTTTCCATTCACGTTTCAACGTGTAAGTGCATAGTTTTGTTAGCATCTATCTATGTAATAATTTAATTTGTTCCTTCCGTCGCCTTATATACATCATTTTCTTTCTACAGGTCCTTCTCGGATCATAGAAGTTTTTCACGAAGCCGGAGTCGTTAATTCAGCTGGAGTCTGTCTACGCCCTATGATGCATTTCTTTTTGAACTCTTCAAAAATACCTTTTCCCAAACGGGCTGTTTAATAAATATACTTTAATAATCATCCAAAGCTCTTTTCAGCCGTCTAAATGAGCTGTACGGTATAACAGCTTTCGTATGTGATTGGAGTGTAATCATTTCAGGCGTCATCATCCTGCAGACAAATTAAAGCTGTTATGTAAGTCAGGTAATTTCTACCAACAGATGAATTGGGATGACTGATGACAAAGGTAGTTGAATTCAGCATTGCGTCGTCATACAGCTGATGCAGTTGGTTAGTAAACAAGGTCGTCATCCTTAGAGGAATGATATATATGATTTATTTCAGGTAGGTGGCTTCGTGATGTTCCATACTTTACTTTGTTTTAAATTCGTTAGTGTCATAGTCCTCATATCTTGTCACCTAGGAATTTACATTTCAGGTTTCATTAATAGTGTTCTTGCACCGAGTTGAATTCAGTTTGTTTTCACCCCTTGAATTCTGTCCAAATGTAAGTATTAACTGCATCTCAGCTAGTGCATTCTTGTGGAGTATTGCTATAACGGGCACGCCTGGATCTTAGTATTTTGACATGCTAACCGAATGCACTCAAGTACGTCATAGAATTTAGTCGTATGGTTTAGGCACGCAAGATTGCTATGCTGGGTTTTTCATTTTCATGTGATATTCAGTAGTTAGCTCAGTATAGGCTCGCTAATAAACCACGGAGGACAGCCCTGGTCCTCACCACCAGTCAGTGGTTCACTTCTTTTATTTATGCGACTGGGTTTTAACTTAGAACGTCTGGTTGGGACTACGCAGGTTTATGAAGTGACTGCAAATGTAACTCGCGTTAGGCTGACATTATACGGATGTTATAGGTTAGCATGCGTAGTCATCGAAGGTACTCACTGAGACGTAGCAGTTTTCCTGAATATAAATGCCGTTAGGCGCCGCAGCCTAAATTTGATTCATTCGTTTTTATCTGGAGTATCACTGTACATGTTTACCTGCAAACCCTTACTGCATGAATGCAGACAAGGCCTTTTTAGTGAGTAGAATTCTGTGGACTCATTGAGACAATCTAGACAATAGCGTTTACATTACGGCTTCATGGAGTCATCTCTGTAAATGGTAAATAGACATGCATGTGAAATTGGTTGAGTCTGTGATATTCCACTTATAACTGCGTGTTGTTTGTGTGAGCCAACATGTGGGTGACTTCTACATCTAACGCTCGCCAGCTGGGTCAGATATCACCAATTGCATTCATACAATATTTCTCATCGTGAACTTGTTTGTGACGTATATCGGCCTGTTCTTTTAAACTCTATTTACAGCTTATGCTTTTCTCTGTTAGAAGATATAGAAATCTTCACACCGAAGACTGCAAATTTTTCCACCTCCACTATCTACTGTTAGTACTTAGTTTGGACTATAAAAGCACAGAAATTCATTTAATAACTTGTCATGGAATTATTGTAAATTAGTTTACTCGATCTCAATTACCCGGAATGTGTATTTTATATAACAGGCTAAGGGCTACACTTATCGTGAATGGTGATGTAGATTCCCAGTAACCTGTCAACTAATAAAAGATAAGGCTGTTTCAGAAGTCTTCTTGTTAATATAAATATGTTCTATTTGGTGCAGATCATATTGGTCAAAAGAATGTGTCAGCGATAGGTATCAGTGTTATCAAAATATACTTAGGTGTACAAAATAATTTGAAAGAAATTATTAGATTAACTGATAAACGAAAAAAAGTAAGCAAGTAAGAGAGAGATAAAACAATCTCAAAATCATTTGAAAAAAACAAATAAAAAAAGTAAAAACTATTAACATTTTTAGTATGCGAAAAAAAATAATCAGTTGTAGGTATGTGCTGTATGCATAAAAAGTATGCCTGAGACAGCTTCATGAAAGTATATTATATATTAGTTCGAAAGATAATCTCAATGATTAATGTAATCTGAAAAGACGATAAAAAGAAGAGGGATGAGATTACTGTATATATTACTAAAGTTGGGTGGTCTATTTGAGATTGAAAGAAATGGCAATGTGTAGATTAATCAAGGTGTTTCACATAATTCATTATCCCATTGAATAGCTATTTCATATAGACTTTTATAAACAGGATCAGATGATATTGTAAGATGATGATGATCAGTTTGATTACAATACAAGGCGTCTATAACAGATTCATCAGTCAACCAACCAGTATAAGGACTAGTACTTGTGCGTGGTGTAATTGACTTTTGATAAGTAGTAGTAGTAGTAGTACATGCATGATTTGGATTTAGGAGATTTCTGTAATAAGATGCATCAAATGCATAACCACCACCATTGGTTATGCGCGTAGAACGATTCCATCGATACCATGCATGAATCCAGAATCGAGGAAAGTGTAGTGGTAAGAGAGCTGGAGTAAGTATTCCTGTCGACTTCTCAACACTTTTTATTAGTTCCATGTAGTCTGATGAATTAGGCTGAACCTAGAATAAAAAAAGGATAGAACAGTGAGTATAGTATGGTACAGTCAAAGAAAAACGCGGAAAAAATATTGCTTTTGAATTCTCCATGGATAATACTTTTCACTCCTCTTGCTCATTTATATCGTTCTCATTAGGATTTGTATGTAGAAACTGATTAGGTTCCGATGAAACTGTTCGTTCTTCGTTATTACTATTCCTTTGTCTCACACCTCTGTTTACTGTCTATATTATGCATTTCTCCTATTTTCTTCTCTTCCTTTGTGTGCTACATGGAGTGTGGCGACTTGAACTGCCGCACATCAGTGCAAAGTTCTATGTCGAAAACAGACAGACAGATTAGGTTCGGGAAAGTAATAGTCGGAGGGTACGACACGAAAACACTAGTTTGCAAATAGAGAGTCAACGTTATCAGATTAGACAGAAGAGCATGACTGAGACGACTAGGGGATACAACTAGTATCAACTCTTCGTAATTCCATATTAGTTTGTTTATTTGATACATCACACAGTGAAACAACTCTTCGTAGTCCCTCATACATCTGCAGTATTTCGATCGTTAGTAATATTATGTTACGTCATCAGTATTATTGATATAAGTATAAAACTTGGGCACTGTGGTAGAGCATAACAACATTATGGATAAGATTTTATTTTGATAAATCATATCATATCATATGATTATGAGCAATAGTTTATGCTCGAAACGTCATTAGTTGATATAACTGTACAACACTGTGTGACTTATCAAAATAAAATCTTATCCATAATGGAGTTATGTCATCAGTACTTTGACACATGTTTGGCGGATACACTTTTTAACGGAATATGACTTCAAATTTAAATTCAAATCATTATGATGTTATATTTGTAATAATCTGAAAAGAATTTACTAGAGAGGAAATGCGTTGTCTGTACTAACTTAAAATCCAAGGTATGATAGTATTCAATACTGTAAAACTATGCTATCGTGATAACTAGACGTGGTACACAATAGTCTTTTCATTCCGAGTGGTACATAGGGCTTCGGAAGCAAATGATCACTGCATTCTACTCTCTCTTCTGGCTGACCCTACGGATTAATGCTTCTATTTCTTTCTCGCACAATCTCCAAGTCACTCTCAAACTACCAACTCTTCCCTATTCAGTCGAGGACCTACCATTCACTGGTCCAATCCATTTCGATTTTATGCATATTTGTTGGGCAATAAGTTTCCTGGTTAGTTCATTGCCGGAGTTCTTTACCGTTAATCTGGCCTTCAGTATCGAGCTAGCGAAGACAGCTGTTGGTGGCCGTTTGCAGCAGACTGTTAGGAATGCTTTGAGGTGGTCCGCATACCAGGTCTCTGAATCATATAGAAGCATTAACTTGATATTAGTGTTGAAAACTAGGACCCTCTTCTCTATTCTGTCTGCGGTCGATTTCCCTACAGATTCCAAAGTAATGTAGATCTGTCTTGCTTTTCCGATCCTGGCTGGCTTTGACATCCCTATGTGTCCCACCGTCTGCCTAGTTAGGTGGGAAACACTTCTTCGGGATTCTTCCCACTGATGGTGTTTGTTGTTGTCAGTAAGGTATCCTCATCACTTGTGTCTTCTATGCGTCCACCTAAAAGCCTCTCTTTATTGCCTCTTCTGCCATGTGTGTCATTTTCATAACACTCGGATCAGCTGATGATAGGTGAAATACGTTACTTTGAAAAGAGTAAGGAAGTGGGACTGTGGTCTTACCTACAAGCATCAAGTGCTTAGAAGAATTAAAAACTAAAACGGTTTGTGAGTGGAACACCACTAGCTAGATAATCCCATAACCATTAGGTGAATTAGTGGGTTTTCGATAACAGTAGGCTGACTGACAAGTGTTGTATTCAATGATTCCAGTGGGTAGGAAATTTATCAATCACAAGTAGTTAGAAAATATCAACTACAAAACTATCTTAAATCAGAAAGTGTTTCACACCTACTTTATTCTAACTTAAGATTTCTTAAAGTTAGGCACGAATAACACACTCATAGGATTAGACATCAAGACAAAGAAGAGTATCTTTCTCCAGGCAAGTCATTTGCACATGATGATGATTGTTTGTTAACTTGTCGAGAAGTGGCTCACTGACTTAAACGCTTAGCTTTCACAGCTAATAGCTTCGAATTCCACTCCATATCTGCTTCAGCCCAGGTAACTGGGTAGTATCATCAGTCTTCACACAGCCTGATACATGCATAATAACAATAATGGTAGCTTTATGCTGAATAGTGTTTATATAATGCACAGAATTTTCGGCGGAAATCACTGTATAGTAGTTCCCTTTGTCTAGGATCTTCAGATAAGATAGTAACTGACAGTGAATCGCATGACACATTGCTGTCTAACCTGAAACAGAAACTAATCCGTTATTCTTTGTCTCTATTGAGAAATACATTTGGTTGGAAGCCAATTAGGAAAGATGCGGTAGGAGTACATTTCTTTTTTACCCAAGAATATAATAACATCTGAAATAATTGGAGACTACAGGTAATTAGTTAGGTAATCAGTTTTATTTCTCAGGGAGTGACAGTTTGTACACTCAAACGGTTTTTTTCTTCAAGTTTAGTAGAAACCTACAAATCAGCAGGTTGCAAGCACATTTTAAATACTTGCGAGAATAGAAAACATCATCAGAGGTCATATTTTAATAGATGATTAAAACAAAATGAACAATAGAAATTACTTTATATGCAATATAATAATGATGGAGTATTTTCGTCAGCCAGGTTTCAAACAGGCCGCCTGATCTCTTCTGAGTACTTGAGTTGATTGGTTTTGTCCTGTGGAGGGAGGGGGAGTCACTAAATTTTATGGTAATATAGGATCTTTACTTATATCAATGAGCAGTAACTTCCGTTTGGTGTGAGTTGAATTATATTCAGCTTACTACTTGACTCAATGACTCTAGATGACAAGACTATTTATCAGAATTCACAGTTAGACGAAATACTTCCACACAAACTAGTGAACTGAATAAGTCATTCATTTTGATAGTTGGATATAACTATGCCATAATGAGAACATACAGTTATATACAGGAAGTATCATTAGGTAGATAATTAACACTAAAGAAAACATTGAAAATACTGATTGAGTGAAAGAAAGTATATCATACTAGTAGATATATGTATATTTATAAATGGCTAAACATACCTTCAGAGGGTTACAACTATATCGCCACCAGTATAACCAGTTAGGCAAAAGTTGACACCCATCTATAGTTAAAATATCATTCCAATGACGAAAAGAACGCCAGGCACATTTATTATAAAGGAAATTTGACTTTTCAATAATTTGTCCTTGTGTTAAAGCTTTTGTTTGAACATGTCTAGCTGCTTCACATGAACAGGAGAATTCTATAGTGAAGGGAGGAATTCCACCGCCTCGACTTAATCCACTATCCAATAATAAAACCAAGTAATCCTTAAAACAGATAAATAAATAGTATTAGCTAGAACAAAAAAAACAGACGTAATATTACTGTAAAATAGTCGAAGTCGATTTATATCTTGGCACCATAAAGCGCTCATTTCACCATCCCTCCTCCACACTCACACGATCTCCCTTCATGTCACACCTGGACCAAATGTCCCACTTGAGGGTCTGGCGAGTGATGTCGCCACTCTATAGTCTCCTCAGCGTGTCTGATCCATTTGCTTCTGAGTATATCGCTTGGTTGATTCCTAATCAGAGTTGCCTATTGCTAGTCCTTTTTGGCCAGCCATTTGATCTTCAGTATCGAGTCAGTGAAGACAACTGTTGATGAAAGTCACCAGCAGCCTGTTGGAAATGCTTTTCGTGATGTGCGCGCTAAGTCTCGGAACCATATATAGAAAGAAATACTGACTTGACCAGCATAATGGAATTGAAAAGCCTAAGTTTGTTCCTTACGCTGAGTACAACAGATTACGAAACACTTCTTTGAGGATTAATATGCAGAGTCTATCTTGCTTTTCCGATACTAGCTGACTTTGAGTATGAATACAAAAGTATCCAGACAAAACTGAAGTGATCGACATCTCCTAAGATCTCCTTAGATATTTGTTATTTGTCTTTTTGGCTACACAACCAAAATGTTTGCAGTGCCTTGTACAACTCAAACCAAAAATTGAAGACATTTCTGAGTTGCGTAGACGTGAAAATTTGGTCTTTTGAAATCCAATCCACAAAGTTTTAGTAACGTTCCACACATTCACAACGAAATATATATCACTGCATGATAATTATTGATGTAAGTATAAAACTTGGGCACTGTGGTAGAGTGCATGATAATTAGTTTTGCACTGACAGTGTATTATATTGTGACAATTAAAAAATCAATACTAATAGTCACTATCATATAATAGTTTATAAACAAAATAAAAATATTAATCTTAGCAAATATTTGATGATTGCATTACACATCCTTGTTTGTATAAACATATATAAATTTTCAGTAATATCAGATAGTCTATGTTTGGTAAGATAGATATTTAATGTTAAGTGGTATTAGATGATTGGAATCCTTGGACCTAGACTTCGTGGTTGTCGGCACTCATTAGCAAGGTGTATTTATCTGCGACCAATCTTGAAGGGACTCATGTTCCTTCTGAGATTCGAACCCGTGTCAATTACCTATTGTCAAATCAAAGTATTCAACACACTACTGCAGGAGATCATTCACGAGCATGAATAACTCAGTGGTAACGTCTCTGACTGCAGCACTGCATTGGTTGACATGGGTTCGAATCTTAGAGTGGGAATGAGTTCCTTCAGGATTAATCACAGATACGCCTTGCTGACTGATGAGTGCCAACAAGCACGAAAACTAATGCCAAGACTTCCTGGCCATTGGCTCCAACCATCTAATAACAAACAAATCAAAGTGCACCGTGATGTTGAGCCACCTAGAATGGTGGTCACACTACAAACTTGACTGATAGAATTCAGTCTGCACCTAACAAGAGATAAAACGCATGGCACTAGTTGTTACCTATTGTCCAAACAGAATGTTTAGTGTTCTCCGAATTAAATCACAAAGTGTGGCAACTTTTTCAATATACACTTTTCAAAAGCACATTATTCAGCATAGAGATTTTTTTCAACGAATTTATTATCAAACTGTACAATCGTAAATAGATAATTTCTAAGCAACTATATCTCGTGAGGGAATTTAAACAAAAGGTGTGAATTTCCAAGTATTGGTTTGTAGGGATTTGATTGATTGGTTACAGGATTTCATCATGAGCTGACATCGGTTAGAGAACCATTGGAAAACCTCAGAGTACTGGACAGCTGTTTCCTCCGTCCTAGTTTGGGACTCTTCATCAGTACGCACTCACTGGGGTTCGAACCCCAGGGCCTTCTGGTTAAAAGGTGAGTGAGCCTTTAGAGGGCTGACCTCAGAACTAGAAGGTCCCGGGTTCGATCCCCGGTGATGTCACGGGTGCGTATTACTGAAGACTCCCAAAAAGTAGGACGAAACGCATATGCTCAGTACTCCCTAGTTTTCAGGAATTAATCTTACTGATCACACTTGAACCCCTGCAAACTATCTATTAACTCGAGGACTTGAAGCGTGATGTTATCCACACAGCACAAAGGTTGCAACAGAAAAATGACAAACTATTATGTAAATGTATTTTATTGTACTTACTTGAGTAAATGCAAATTCTGTCGGGAATTGAATAAGCAGTTGATGAACACAATCAAGAAATAAAGCAAAGCATACACCATCATCATAATCCGAGCTAACTGAATTATCATGCCAATCAGTTGGATCAGGAGCGAATGGATAACCATAACGAATCCATTCACGTTCAATTAAATCTTCAAAACCATGAATTGTTCGATTCTCTGAGGATAACATTATCTGAATGTTGTATAAATATGTTCAGTAGTAGGATGAGTACATTAGAAAACAAAACAACAAGAAAAGTTTAGATTGGTACAGAGAAGAACAACAAAATGATTGTGAATGAGTTTCAGCATAGAACTCTGAACTGTGTAGTGCACTTCAGTTCAACTTACTACTCTCTTTATGTAGAAAGATTTCAAAAGACTACGTACGCATAAGCAGAAATGTGAGACACACAGAGAGAAGAAATAGTAACATGGAAAAGCATGAGAATTTAATGGATCTGGGAGATCTCAAAAAGTGAATGCATCTGCACACCACTTAGAAGTAACAGTCTCAAGCTGTTGGTTCTTAGCATCCCACCCAAGCATTGTAACCATGTGGCTTGAATCAGATTTTGGTGTGACCAACTCTAACAACCCTTCTCTAAACTAATCCTGTGTAAGTTAAGATGGCTCGACGAAGAAGGCAGTGGCTCTGTAAGCATAACACACGTCCCAACTATATCTCAATCGATATAGCTTCAGAACATCATCGATTGACACCGCACCCACCCCCACCCTTCCTTATTTAGCACTCGACGCCTAACCTCAATACTGCTCACTATTTTATACTGTTTAACGCGGTAGACACAACCCAAACACTCCTGCCTAAAGACAAATAGCCTCTTCATATCTTCCAATTTCAACAGATATGTCTCACAGCGATAAAGAACAGCTTCTTATAAGGATAAAACTTGGGCACTGTGATGGATAGAGTATAACTCGATTATGTATGGATAAAGCTTTATTTTGATAAAATCACACAGTGTTGTTATACAGTAATATTCACTGTAACACCAATACTATTTCTGAATGTACATTATATCTTATATTGATTTTATCCAAATGTCGAATCATCAATTTTTACTCATGTATATATAAACGAAGCAAGAAAGTTGTGTGAGTAATTGCCTTGATATGATTTTGAGCGGCAATAATTTGTGCTCGAAATGTGGTTATCAGTAAATATTACTACTGTATAACACTGTGTGATTTTATCAAAATAAAATTTTATTCACAATTGTGAATAGCTTCTTAGTTCACACGTCTTTTGATTAATAACTAGATATCACGAACTATATGATATGCAATATGTTGATGCGAAACTGTGATTTCATAAATATATCACAATCACAACAGAATCATCCTGAAAATATGATCTTTGGCATTACTACTGATGAGTGACAAGTGTTCGTCTCTTTGAGATGTGTGTGTGTGTGGGGGGGGGGGAAGTGTGGACATGGGAATTCTCAAGGCTAATACTACTACTGATTAGTCGTACACCTGACAGGGGCCAACAAATATAATTTTCTGTTTTCCTTCACGTTCCCCAGTGGAACATAGGGCTCCAAGCTAGTGGCTTGAAGTTTCTGTAGCAGTGTTTATTTTACAGGATGGGGTTGCTAGCCTCATGCCCAACCTTTCCTCTTCACCAGCTTTTTATTTCTGGCTTAGCGAGGTAAAGGAGTGCGTCGGCCGGGAATCGAACCCCAGACCATGTGCATGGTCGGTGAGCGTCCTAACCGCTATGCCACCGACGCATAACAAATATAATGCTTTCCACCAATCAAAAACTCATACGAACAAGTGAAATCAGCGAGAATACAGGAAGTTGTGAATTCAGGCGTTAATTTCACGATTATTTATTATTAATTTTTTTTACTGTATTCCTTTACTTTCCGAGTGCAACATAGGGCTTCCAGCTTGAGCTTTGAAGTTTCGGTAGTAGAGGTTGAATTTTTAAGAAGGGGGAGGTGAGAGTCGATACCGTCACGCCCAACCGTCCCTCTTGACTGGCCTTACTACAGGCTTAAGTGTGTATCGGTCAGGGTTCGAACCCCGGGTCAAGTGAGTGGCTGGTGAGCATTCTACCGGTGAAACACCAAAGCAACAGTTGCACAATATGACGGTTATATATATATATATGGTGTGTTTATTTGCTCCTCAATAAATGTATTTATCTTCTTTAACTCTTTTGCATCCATTGTTGTTTTCGTTAACAACTACTTATTTCGTTGAAACTAGGCTTTGTGTCTCATAATTTCCCTCGGCAGTAGAGTAAGCTCACTTTCCCACTAATGTAGCATTTGTGGAGGAGACTTATGTCACTATTAATAAGCTATTACAATCAACACTGAATGAAGAGATACTGTGATTCGCTAATTAATATATATCATATCAGGAAGTAGTGGAAAGCTTTGTGTGCATATAGAACTTCCCGGCTGCCCATACACAACATGGAAGTGGCTTTCTTCTTGGAGTATCTGAAAGGGAAAGGACATAAGTGTTGTGTGGCCGCAGAACCGAGAGAAAAACTGGTTGAAGCCTTTTTGAAGTGATTTTGTGGGTTTCACCTGTATGAAGATCATACTTCCGGTTACAGACCGCCTCAAGGTAATTCAGGATGTACATTTTTCGGGATTGACACTTTCTAACCCTTCGTGCTCAGAGTGGGGAGTCACTGCAGCAAGCTTGTTGGTCATCTGAGGGGAACACTGTACTGCTGTAGCATCCTTATTTCCCAGCAGTACGGCTTCGTTCACATACCCCCACCCAACTTAGTATAAATGATTTACACTATAGTAGTAATTCGCTTTAGTCTAACCGTTATGCAAACGACCTTCCTAGCATGATAAGACCTGAAGGGACATTAGTTCCAGTTGGTGTAGTTCGGTGGATCATTAAGATATACAAGTGCGAAATCAAGGTAGGAGCTATCGGTCCGGATAGCGTATCAAACACAGGGTCTACCTTACTTTATAGAACCAGTGTTACAATGACTAGTAAATTAGAAAACCATTCGAAAAATAATCCCTTTTTCATGATACACCGTCGAGGAACTAGAGCAAATCTACAGTCGAACAAAAGGTATTGTACTATTATTATTATTGTTCCCTTGGGTTCCTAGTGGAACATAGGGCTTCAACTGCACGTCTCCGCTTGCTTCTGTCTTCTGCTGCACTTTTCACCTGCATCCATGTTAGTCCATAGTGTTTCAACTCCTCTTCACACGATCTCCTCCATGTCACCCTTGGACGTCCCACTTGCCGCTTTCCTTTTGGGTTCCACGCGCGATGTCGCCCAGTGGCCTACTCAGTGAGTGTCCAATCCATCTCCACTTTCTCCTGCATATTTGTTGGGCGATTGATTCTTGTTTTGTTTGTTCCCATAGTTTCTTGTTGGTTCTTGTTCTTTCCGGCCATCTGATCTTCAGTATAGAACGAAGACAGCTGTTGATAAAGGTCTGCAACAGGCTGCTGGAAATATTCTTTGTGACCCGCCAAGTTTCTGATCCATCCGTATAGAAGAACTGACTGACTTGACGTTTGTATTGAAAATCCGAATTTTGTTGTTGATGCTGAGTGACGAAGATTTCCAGATTGGTTTCAGGTTGATGAATGTGTTTCTCACCTTCACGATTCTCAATTTGACATTCTCGTCCGTTCCTCCTGTAGTTGAGACAATGCTCCCTAGATGAGTGAATGAAGTAACCTCTTTCAAGTCCCTCCCGTTGATGGTGATTGGCGCTAGGTGTTGCTACTGTTGTCGAACAAAAGATATTGAACTATATCTATAACATGAAATATGAGAAAGTGTATACAGAATCACGACTTGGTAGAAGTTAGAATTCATGGGCTGGTCATTGAGGATTTGGGTCCCAGTGGCTGAATGGCCTATGAGCTCGCCTTGTAACCGAAAGGTTCCTGGGTTCGAACTTCGGTGGTGGGTGCATACCGCCGGTGAGTCCCACCCAAACTAGGAAAGAATCAACTGTCCAGTACTTCCTGCTGGTTCTCAATGCTTCTCAAACTGATATCGATCAATCCATGAGCAAACTTGGAATAGACAAAAACACAAACAAGAATCAAATATCCACCCATCTACCTACCTACCTGTGCAAGGCTCGTTAAAATCGGTTGCCAATTACGTCCACTGTCAGGTCCACTTAACACAATTATTGTCCCATTGTATCCATTCACTGGTTGTAGCGAATACTGATGAATAACACTGACTAATTCATTTGCCTGTTTCAATATAAACGATAATAAATCCAACCAATTTGTTGATAACAGGTTCTCTGACCAATCGGAACGATGTGGACTACACTGAAATGCCATACTATCCAATTTCTTTTTATTCAATAGATTTAATCGTGAATAATTTCTACCCAGTGATTTAGAAATATTACTACCAATACTCATGCTACCAGTATTATTATTATTATTATTTCCACTGCTATTAGTAGTAGTAGGACTGCTAAAATGCTGTAAGTTGCCAAACTCAAATCTAGGCATATCGGATCGTGTAGAATAACGTTTCTCTTCATCAGATGATCTCAGTTTACGTCTCAGTACAATGCCATAATCTTTATGCTTCGCCTTCATTGTCTTCTTCTTCTTCTTCTCTTGTTCACTGCCTAATGAATCAGTTGACAGTGTATCCCAATTCATCATATAGACAGTATCAGTACCATTATTGTTATTATTATCTTCGTTGTCATGATTGCTATTCTCACTATTGAATAAAGAATAGTCAAGTATTCCTGATGGACTGTTCTCAGCACTACTATGACTATTATTATGATGATTACTAGTGCTGTTTGTAACATCAGTTGAAATTTCAACATCCGGTGCATGAATTTGTGATAATTGAATGAGATTTTTCAATTGAATCCAAGATTGTTGAATATGATTACGTTTCGGTGTACACCAGTCGGCCTGTTGTTGTCTAGCATTTTCATATAGTAGTAATGATGGTGTTGATGACAGCGGGGTAACATGACCAGTACTGTGTTGAACAGGTGAAGCAACAGAATGGTCGACGTGGTGGTGGTGATGGTTGAATGTTGACATCGATAAAGCGTCATCGTCTTCCTCACTGGGATCACACGATGACAATGACGAATCATCGCTGTCCGGGAATAAAGGTGTGTATAATTCATAGAAGGCTTGTTGCTGTTGTTGAGAATTTTGTCCATTGAATTTTGAACACTTAATTGTTTGTTTTAATTCACTGAAATTATTAGCATAAGATAATTTTATATGTTTTAAAAATAATCTTTGTTGATAATCTTTTGATGATGAATTGACTGATGGATAATTACAGTGGATCAATTGTTTAAGATCAATATCATTCACTAATCGTCCAGCTCTTAATATCCATACACCAAATTGTTGTGTAGATGAAACAGCCAGTGATGGGGATGTGGATAATAAGTGTGGTAAAGATGAATCAGCATTATTATTATTGTTATTATGCGGTGAATTATTATTATTTTCTTTCGGGAAATAATAAAATGATAAAACTGGAAAACGATGTCCAACAAAATAATCACGAAATATAATTACCTAAAATAATAATTAAAAAGACAGGTAAAAAGAAGAAGAGTTGGTGAAACACAGTGTAAAGGATACTTTTGGATTTGTTGAAAGGATGAAAGATTTAAATGTCGACAATAAATTCATGATATCATTTGACATATCTTCCTTATTCACCGATGTACCTCTCATGGAAACAGTGGACTTTATATGCGAAGAACTCAAACGACGAAACATCGATGTTGGCATCTCTATATCTTTTATGAAAGAGCTCATCTTGAAATGAACAATGAATGTCCACTTTTTATTTAATAAGGAACTATACAGACACAAAGTGATGGTGTGGCGACGGGGTCATCACTAGGACCCATTCTAGCTGACATTTTCCTTGCGAAACAAGAAAATGGGCCTTTGAAGGATGTTATTAATGAACTCGAATTCTATTATCGGTACATGGATGGTACATTTTTGATTATGAAAAATGAGGAGGAAGCAAAGAACATCCTGGATAAATTTTACTATTGAGAAAGAAAAAGATTCTAGTATTTCATTTTCAGACGTCCTTATAACCAGAAAAGAGGATGGCACAATAAGAAGAAGTGTATATAGAAAACCTACATCAATGGGTCAGTACACACATTTTCTCAGCTTCATGCCCTTGAAATACAAACGCAATCTGATAAAGTGCTTGGTTCATAGAGCAAGAGCAATTTGCTCGGACGAATGTCTTGATGAAGAACGGTTGCTAAATGAAAATGGTTATCCTGAAAAGTTTATTGATAAGAATATGAATCTAAAACCAAAGCAGCCCAAGTTACCAACAGTTCCAAAAAAGGCCTTATTCTTACAAATGTAGTTCCTTGGGGACAATATGTGCGAGATACCAACACAGCACCTTAGGAATGCGGTGAAGAGAGTATTCCCTGCTGCAGAATTACGCTGTATCTTCAAAACCACTCCTCTTTTGCGTTCGGCAGTAAAAGGCAAGCTGCCTGATTTCGGCTCTTCCATGTGTATCTACAAATTTAACCGCTCCTGTGGAGTGAGCCAGTTACATAGGCCGTACAATTAGGCGCGTTCCTCGTCGAATTTCCGAATATCAACCTGCGTGGTTAAGCAAAAGACAAACAAAATCTATTCGCAACGCTATTCTATCTCATCTTGTGGATACAGAACACAAGATTGATGTTAACCGTGCTCTCAGGGTAATTTACCGCATACCCACAAACCTCAATTTTGCCTTAAGAGTTCGACTACTAAATATTGCTGAGACTGTTGGGATCCATATTAACAAGCCTAATTTATGCATCCAAAAGAAGTTAGTTCAGTCATTATCATTACCTCGGCCATCTAGGTTTGAATGATCATGAATTTTTGTGGAATTTCCCTAATTTTAGTTGATATTATATTCGCTATTGTATCTTTATTATTATTATTATAATTTAAGCATCTTTAATGAACTGTAATTCCATAGATCTTACTTTACAAATCGATATTATTTAAAAAACGCTAGTATTATTATTTAGTACTATTCTAGAATATTCTATGTATATAAACATATACGTAATTGTAGAGCCGGTAGAGGAATTTATCGAAAAGAATATTCTTTGCTCGATTATTTTGTGTTTTATAGATGTCTGAATGAATATTTTTGCTATATTGAATACATTTTTCACATACGAATGTTTACTGACAGGTAAAAAGCGGATATAATCCAACAAAGTTTTGAATTTTTGCATATGAATTCAAGGTTAACATATTTCATCATATTACACCATTAAGATGACAGGTTAGACTGGAGATATAAGTGTCCCTGGTTCGAACCCCGATTCCCGTGGTAATTGAATGAGCATTTTCGTGCGTCGGTAGTGCGGTGATAAAATGCTCGCCAACCACGGCCTCACGTGGTCTGGGGTTCAATCCTCGATCGATGCATTTCCTAAACCTTGTTTAGTCGGTAGTAGGCGCGCTAAAGAGGGAGGGTTAGGCGTCCTTCCCACTGTTAACACCATACCTCAAGTGGGTACATCGTCTTCTCTTAAACCTATGATCATTAATAACGACAAGAGCAGGGAAAACATTACTTAGGGTCTCCTAAGACCAAGCTACCAACTTCATATTGAGGCATTAAACATCATGACCTCTCAAGTCTGTGTGGAGGTCAACAGTACTCAGCATCAAAAATAAGATCCGGATTTTCAACTCCAATGTGAAGTCAGTGCTACTATACGGATCAGAGACGTGGCGCGTCATAAAGAGCACATCAAACAAACTACAGACCTTCATTAACAGTTGTCCTCGCTCAATACCCAAGATCAGATGACCAGAAAAGATCAGCAACAGAGATCTCTGGCAATGAGCGAACCAACCAGGAACCGATTGTGAAACAAATAGGCAGGAAGAAATGGAGATGGATTGGCCATACTCTGAGGAAACAATGCATCAAGTGACATCACTAGACAAGCCATTGCTCGAGTGGAACCCGACTGAATGGGAAGCGGCGAGTTGGTCGTTCAAGTGTGACTTGGAGGAGGTCATGTGAAGAGGAGATGAAAACGTGTGGGCAGAGTTGGAGCCAGGTGAAGACTCTAGCAGAGAACCGAACGCAATGGAGACGCACGGCTGAAGCTCTATTTTCCTCTAGGAATTAAAGGAAACAATAATAATAATAATAATAATAATAATCATGACAGTAGGCTTCACTCACCAGAACTCTGACATCTCGAGGCATGGATATACACACACTGTACATGCGTACAAGACGTAGGTGTGGCTACTCGCTTACCAGCACCTAACCAACAGGATGAATCTGGAAAATTCAACCTAATGTATGTTAGGAGATTCTTCAGCTAGTTTGTGAGGATGGCATTGAATACTAGGGCAGAAAAATTCCTTCCTGAATAGATTCCAGTGGATAGTCATCAGTGTGGCGTGCCTCTGAACACAGGACTTCAATCTTGAGCTTTGAAGTTTCAGTAGCAGGTGTGTGTTCTTTTTTACAGGGTGGGATTGCTAACCTGACACGCTCAACGTTCCCTCTCTAATGAGCTTACTACTGACTAAGAAACGTTTAGAAGTCAGTCAGTCAGGAGTCAAACCCCGGGCTACCGACGCACTAAGCTCAGTGACATTATATAATTAATTTGGATTGTGTGAGAATTTAGATTAATTTTAGCATATATTACATCACGAACTAACATAAGTTAAATGATGATTGGAAACCAGGAAGTACAGGATAACTGTTTCGTCCCAATCTGGGACTCTTCATGTTGTGAGACCATCTCGTTAACCAAGCCCCCACTTGGGTCAGAATTCAGTGATAGTACCGAGCTGCTGTCGACTAAATGTTACCAATGGACAATCATGTCCCCTTGATATGGATGGGAGCACCATTGACTACTAGATCTCATTACAACTTCGGGATATCCAGCCAATAACTGTCAACGAAGCAAGGATTGATGACCAGGTTATGGCCGAATGGTCAAGGAGCTGACCTATTAACTTGAAAGTCGCAGGTATGATATCCCTGGTGGACTCATGAAAGTGCGTAGTGATGGAGAGTTGCAAACTAAGACAAAATAATTATCCAGTGGTTCTCTAACTGGCCTAATCTATCAGGCTAAGTTTACAATTTCATACAGTCTCGACAGAGACTTGTTTATCTAAGATATTTAGGTATAACGCCTTTTAAAATACTCAAATCAAAAAAAGAAGCGGGTTGAGCAGAATTACACACAACATGTAAAAGTGAGTCAGATTAAGCTGATGCACGTTTTTTTCCCTAGTGAAATGTTATGAAAGTTAACGGAAGTGAAGCTTCCAAGTGTGTGTGCGTGTGTGTGTGTGGAGGGGGGGAACAAGCACTATAAAGAATTAAGAGTGCTCACCGTTTTTATTCCTTACGTTCCGAGTAGAACATAGAACATCCAGCTTTCAGTAACACACCTCCTAACAGCCTAGGAACCTGGACTTACCGCATATAGCTAGCCAGCGTACCACTACCATCGATGCATAACAATAAATACCAGGTTGTGTAACATTCAGTGTATTTAGAGCAGGAGAGTTATTCGTTAATTCAAAGTCAACCTGTTCATCAACGCAACGAGTAACAATCTTGCTAGTGTAATTTTCAATGTTGTAAAGTACAAGACTATGATTAATCAAATAAAAAATAATTGAATAAATACACGAATAGATAAACTTACAGAGGATTTAAATGCAAGTGTTGGGATCTGCAAGGGTAGTGTTCGACAATAAGCAAAATCAGTATTTTCAATTAATTCATAATCGCCTTTTAAACAATCATACCATTTGGCCTTTAATCTAGACAATGGATTTACTGGAGTACAATTGATTGGCTGTATATATATAAAGACATAAAAAAGAAACATAAATAAAATTTAATAATTCCCATTGTAGCATTAAGAACACAATATTCAGCGAAGAGACTCTTTTCAACGAATTTATTATCAAGCTTTTCAATTGTAGATATACACACATATAGAATACTCGCCGACGACGCCACATGTGATCCGGGATTTGACTCCTGACTGACTCACTTCTAAACGTTTCTTAGTCAGTAGTAAGCTCATTAGAGAGGGGACGTTGAGCGTGTCAGGTTAGCAATCCCACCCTGCAAAAGAAGGACACACAACTGCTCTACTGAAACTTCAAAGCTCAAGACTGAAGTCCTGTGTTCAGAGGCACGCCACACTGATGACTATCCACTGGAATCTATTCAGGTAGGAATTTTTCTGCCCTAGTATTCAATGCCATCCTCACAAACTAGCTGAAGAATCTCCTAACATACATTAGGTTGAATTTTCCAGATTCATCCTGTCGGTTAGGTGCTGGTAAGCGAGTAGCCACACCTACGTCTTGTACGCATGTACAGTGTGTATATCCATGCCTCGAGATGTCAGAGTTCTGGCGAGTGAAGCCTACTGTCATGATGTTTATTATTATTATTGTTTCCTTTAATTCCTAGAGGAACATAGAGCTTCAGCCGTGCGTCTCCATTGCGTTCGGTTCTCTGCTAGAGTCTTCACCTGGCTCCAACTCTGCCCACACGTTTTCATCTCCTCTTCACATGACCTCCTCCAAGTCACACTTGAACGACCAACTCGCCGCTTCCCATTCAGTCGGGTTCCACTCGAGCAATGGCTTGTCTAGTGATGTCACTTGATGCATTGTTTCCTCAGAGTATGGCCAATCCATCTCCATTTCTTCCTGCCTATTTGTTTCACAATCGGTTCCTGGTTGGTTCGCTCATTGCCAGAGATCTCTGTTGCTGATCTTTTCTGGTCATCTGATCTTGGGTATTGAGCGAGGACAACTGTTAATGAAGGTCTGTAGTTTGTTTGATGTGCTCTTTATGACGCGCCACGTCTCTGATCCGTATAGTAGCACTGACTTCACATTGGAGTTGAAAATCCGGATCTTATTTTTGATGCTGAGTACTGTTGACCTCCACACAGACTTGAGAGGTCATGATGTTTAATGCCTCAATATGAAGTTGGTAGCTTGGTCTTAGGAGACCCTAAGTAATGTTTTCCCTGCTCTTGTCGTTATTAATGATCATAGGTTTAAGAGAAGACGATGTACCCACTTGAGGTATGGTGTTAACAGTGGGAAGGACGCCTAACCCTCCCTCTTTAGCGCGCCTACTACCAACTAAACGAGGTTTAGGAAATGCATTGATCGAGGATTGAACCCCAGACCACGTGAGGCCGTGGTTGGTGGCTTTTCTATCGCTGCACTACAGACGCACGAAGGCGCTCATCCAGTTATATATATATATATATATATATATATACATATATATATATATATATATATATATATATGGGTTTTTTTTGAAGAAATTATATCCGGTGAGGGAATTAAGTCAAAGGTGTGAATACATGAAATAATAATAATAGTATGAAATGCAATTGAACTGTTTGTGATTATAATCATAGTTTAATGTCAAGTGGCAAAATAATCAGTGTCACATAGAATAATACATAAGGTGTATAGATTTTGGAAAGGGTTACATAATTATAGGATTAGTAGGCGAATATAAAATGTTATATAACATGCTGTGAAATTTGATAAGATAGAATTCAATATTGTAAAAATAAAAAATATAAAAATGAATAATTTTGGGTTTAGAATGACAAGTGGGTCAAGTGGAAAAGATTCAGAGAGAGAATGGTAATAATAATAACGATAATAATATTCATAATAATCGTAGTAATAAGGGAAAAGTACATAGAATGACTAAATAAACAAAATAAATAAATGTCTATCCCTCTACGGCCAAGGCAGAAGTAGGGATTGTACATACTTCTTTTGTACACAAAGGTCTGGCTTAAAGTCATGAATTGCCAAAGCCTCAGTTGTCTTTAGAAGTGTGTAACGAAGAAAACGCGGCAAGTTAGCATGGATTCTATATATGATCTTGAAATCGTGGTGAGGGTTGACAGAAGTCAATCAGGTGTTCTAGAATAGACCTTCGCACACACTTCCTTTCTTCCTTGTATAACCATGCTGGAATATGTTCTCGTATCCGTGTGGCAAGCGTCCTCTGACTATAGCCAATGTACCTTGCTCCACAAGAGCAGGTGAACTGATAGATGCACATGGAGGCGGCCATGTATTCACACCTTTGACCTAATTCCCTCACCCGATATAATTTCTTAAAAAAACCATACATAAACGATTGCAAATTCGTTGAAAAGAGTCTCTTCGCTGAATATTGTGTTCTTTATAAATAAAATTAACCGCACTAATAATAATAATGATAATAATTGTGAAAATTCATAGTATGCATACAACAACTCTTGATAAATCAAAACGGCAAGAAACTGCTCAACGACTCCTAGCCAACACAGTTAAGGAGTGAAATGGTTGACTTATGTTCCAAGTTACACCAGTCCTCCTAACGGACTAACGGCTGATAAAATCTGAGCATGAATACAAAGGGCTTGTGTGACGTCTGCCAACTCACGTCATCTTTGGCGTAGACATGGAGGATCAGGCTGTCGATCAAAGGGGTACACTACGCAGTAGTTCCTTATGTCTTCCTTTATGGCTGTGAGATATGGTCATTGAAAGTGGAAGATGTGAAAAGGCTAGTCGTCTTCGACCACAGATATTCCCATCCCATCTGCAGTGTTAAGTGGTATAAAACAGTCAGCAATACTGAGGTTAGGTGTAGAGTGTTATATATAGAAAGGAAATCAAACGAGGAAGTTGTGATTGTAATGCCTATAACACAGATTACACATACCAAACCACCGCCTTCCTCAGCGAACAATATCAGCTAACATAGAATTAGAGTTTGTCAAGCCCAAACCTGTCATCGATCCGTAAAGCCTTTTGCAGTTGCTATGAGTCATGCGAAAAAAGGTGTAGACCACCTGGTTAGAGTCCTCATGATGCTAAAAAGCAATAGCTTGCGACTGTTGGAGGTTCTTAGTGGTGCGGATGCATTCAGCCTTCGAAATCTTCCAGACCCATTAAATTCTCATGTTTTTCCATGTTACAAATTCTTTCTTCTCCCGTACACATTATTTCTGCCGATAATAGTCCTTTTGAATATCTTGTTTTCTCGCTTACCTCTACTGTTGCATGCTACATGGAGTGTGAGCTGAAGCAATTCTGTGCAGAGAGTTCTACGTTAAAACTGAGTCAGTCAGCCATGTCTATGTATATCGATATTTATTCTTTATGAAAATGCACTGGATATAACCTCAAAGCTGATAATAAAAGCCTTTTACATAAAAAAGTTGACTTTAAGATAATATATGTTTGAAACATAGAAATATTTATTTTTTATTTTTTTATTCCTTTACGTTCCCAGTGGAATATAGGGCTTCAAGCTACAGGCTTGAAGTTTTGGTAGCAGTGGTGTTTATTTTTACGGAATGGGGTTGCTAGCCTCATGCCCAACCTCCCTTCTTTACCAGTCATATTACTGGCTTAGTGAGGTAAAGGAGTGCGTCGGCCGGGGATCGAACCCTGGACCACATGCATGGTCGGCGAGCATTCTACCGCTGTGCCACTGACGCATATATATATATATATATATGCCTGAGAGATTTGGGGCATTTCCAACTATCGATTAAAGAATTTCACAAATGTGAAGTCAGTTCTTCTATACGAATCAGAAAGTTGCACTGCGTGTCACGAAAAGGATTTCCAACGAGTTTAAGACTTTAATCAACAGCTGCCACCTTCACTGGCTCCACGAAGACATGAAAAGCCCGACTAGCTGTCTTTGATCATAGGTGTCTGCGTTCTATCTCCCGCGTGAAGTGGTATAATAAGGTGAGCAATATTAAGGTTAGGCGTCGAGTGCTAGGTAAGGAGGGGAACTCAATCGACGAGGCTGTGAAATTACATCGACTGAAATGGTTAGGACATGTCTTACGTATGCCTAGTCATCGCCTTCCTCGACAATGGGCAATGTTAGCTGATATAGAGTCAGGCTGGAAAAGAGCTAGCGGCGGTCAAACCGAAACATGGCACCAGTCAATGAAATCTACAACAGTTAGTTTAAGCCAGCCACGTAGGAAGGTGTAGACTTCCTGGCTGGGGTCCTCGGGACGGTAAAAACCAATGGTTGGAAACAATTGGTGACATGGCTCAAAATCGTTCTCAATGGGTGGCGCAGATGCATCCACTACTTGTGACTTATGATTTTCTTCGCTATTACTATTCCTTTGTCTCTCACCTCTGTTTACTGTCTATATTATGCATCTCTTCTACTTTCTTCTCTTGCTTTGTGTGCTACAAGGAGGGAGTGTGGCGACTTGAACTGCCGCACATCGGTGCAAAGTTCTATGTCGAAAACACACAGACTGGCTTCACACTGAAGATCAAATGGCCGGCCAGAAACAATTAGCAACAAGAAACTCTGGCTGGGAACAAACCAGCCAAGAGCCGATTGCTCAAGAAATATGTAAAAGAAAATGCAGACGGGTTGGGTATACGCTGAGGAGGCCGTCGAATAACACCATGCGCCAGGCCATCGCTCGAGTGGAATTCCAATGGGAAGCGACGAGTGTGTCGTCGGTGCGAGGGTCACATGGAGGAGATGAGAGATTATGAACAATCGTGGACCCAGCTGAAGAGGACAGCAGAAAATAGAACAAAGTGGAGATGTGTTGTTGAAGCCCTATGTTCCAGTCGAAACCGAAAGGAATAATAAATGATAACAATTACAATCAGTTTAATACTTTCATCAATAGGTGAGAACTTCGCTAGCTCGGTGCTGATGATCACATGGTCGGCCAGAAACGATAAGCAACAAGGAACTCTGACAGTGTAACAAACCAACCAAGAATCTATTACCCAGCAGATATGCAGGAGG